GATTTTTGTGTGTTTTGTTGTAAAAAGCCAGAATTGGCAAGTTTCAGTTATGAAGCCAATTCTGCAACTCCTACCTTGTGGGGAACCCCCCACCAGTCTGTGGTTTGTTGTGGAGAGCTAGAAATGGCAAGTTCTAATCCTAAGGCAAATTCTGCAGCTGCAGCCTGTGGGGATGCTGTTATTAAAAACGAGATTCACTTAATAAATTATAAAAAGTTTAATATAAACAAAAGACAATTAGGAGACAAAAGAAATAAAGCAAAGGGTTAAAATGGCCGGGTGCCCTGGCAGGTTGCCAGGAACACACCTGGTATCTTGGGAACACTCTTTTTATCCCCTCCTGCTGTGAGGATTTGATGCATATTCAAACTTTTTCAAGAAGTATTTAGCATGTCCCCTCCCTGGTTCCACCTATTTGGAACATGCTTTGTTTGATTTCTATTTCTGCTATTCAGCACTATTTTTGCTGGTCATCATTATTCTTGCTGGTCATCAGTATTTTTGCTGACCACCATTATTTTGAGTCTGGTTTCCTTTCTTCTGCAAATGGTCAGTATTGATTACAGTCCGGGCCCCTTATCCTTCCTTTGAGGGCAGCTGGGCTTCATATCTTCTGCTGATAACAGTTTGGGCTCTATTGTTCTCCTGATAACAGCTCGGGCCCCACTGTTTTTGCCCTCTGGGGTTTCCTTGCTTTGTACCTAGGAAATTCTTTTAAGCTTAAAACTTGTTAGCAAGAAGAAAGGACATACATAGCTAAAAAGTATTTAACATATAATATTCATCTTAATACCTGTGAAAGCCAATATCACAATATAGATTTATAACACTGTTGTCCTATAGAGACCTAGGTATTTATCATGCAGCTTCCTCTGTAGGAGCTATAGGAAAACTTTAAGGGAAAGTATTTTCTTTCCTTAATAAAGTTTATAAATGTTAAAGATTATAAAATAATATAAATATTAAGGTTTCCGTAATAAATGTAAATTTGTTAATCACCTCCCTATGCCTAAGATGGACTTGATGCAAAGAAATTTGGATAGAGAGCAATTGGTTACTAAAAAAATGTGCTGTGATTAACTTTAGGCAGTGGCATTGCTTGCTGCTGAACTAAATCATGTTTACACAGAGTCACCTGTTTTGTTTGGGCAAACTTTGCAGAAATTATTAGGAGAGTTTACTCCACCCTCAAGAGTTGTTGCAGGATGCGGATGTTAAACAAAGTCTTGCTAAAAGAATTTTAGTGAAAGAGCATGAGGGAACACGAAGTCTGTTGTCTATCTTTCTAAACTGGTAAACCTGATAGCCAGAGGCTGGCCCCACTGTCTGCAGAGCAGTGCAGCCACAGCTCTGATGGTGGCTGAGGCCCGAAAGCTGACAAACGGGAGGGTATGAATGTCAAAGTTTCACATCAGATTAAAGGTTTGTTAACTGAGAAAGCCTCCAAGTGGGGACCAGCGTTCGGTAATTATGGTATGAATTTTGTTTAACACAACAGGAGGATTTAGAATTTAAAAGCCGAAAAGGGTTTAACCCAGCCTCCTGTTTGAACAGCCCTGAAGAGGGAAGCCAGTGTGAATTCCATGACTGAATTCAGGTAATAGATCTGCAGATTAGGGCGAGGAAAAGATCTACAGACATTTCGTGGCCTGAGGGAGAAAATGTGTTTATTGATGAGACTTCAAGGGTGATAGAAGGAAAGTGATTTACAGGATACTCTGTCGTGAAAGGAAAGCAATCAAAGGAAGGGAGGAGGTTACCACACAATTGGTCAGCTCAGACAGTGGAGGTGTGTGCTTGTGAGAGCCTATGAGTTATATCGGGACAAGACAGTGAATGTTTTTACTGATTCTAGATATGCCTATGGGGTGATACATGCATTTGGGAAACAATGTGAAGAAGGAGGTTTATTAACCTGCAGAAGAAAGACGTTGGCTCATGAGAACTTAATCTCCCACCTATTGGAGGTGGTGAATTTACCAAAAAAGTTAGCAATAATATGTGGCCCTGATACTGTCTCTTGTGAAATCTCTTCGACAGCTGGCACAGACTCTGCCTTTGGACTTTGCGGTTCACAACATCCAACCAAGAGACTGGGTCCTAGTTAAAGAGTAGAAAGAAGCACCACTGGTGGCTAAGTGGTGTGGACCTTTACAGATGTTGCTAACCACAGAAATGGCCGTCAAGAGAGCTGAACACGGGTCAAGGTCTCTGAGGCCCCAGAGGATTGGACATCTCATCTGGAGGAGAAGGATGGGAAGCTGTGACTGGCACTCTGCAGGGGTGGACTGGAGCAGTAGCTGTGCGTTGACACTGGGGGAAGCCCCGAGTGCCTACCCACAGACTGCCTGCTGAAATAGTCTGTATGGGCATCCCTACTCTCAGATCTCCAGACACCGGGGGCCAATCCATGCTGTCATTGCTTTCTGTATGCTAAGCTGTTTCTGTGCCTTCACTCACCACAGAAGGTGTGAAAGACAACGTGAAAGTGAAAATTAGGTTAAGAAATTATTTTATTAAAGTATTAGAATGTTTCTCTTAATAATCTTATCTTTATATTGTCAGTTAGGTTAAAGCTAAAAGTGGAAAAGTAATTTTTTAACCTTAAGAGAAGAAGTAGCAAAAACCTTTAACCTTAGCAATTGTTGGGTCTGTGGAGAGCCAGAGGGATCTGAAAACTGGCCATGGGTGGCCAGCCCAGCTGAGCCTAAATGGTGGGTTAGCACCCTGAGTGAGGTCCATAATGGAACAGGATTTTGGGACGAAGAAGGAAGTCCATGGCAGCTTCATTCTTCTGAAAGAGGCGTATATTGTCTAAATAGAACAAGTAGCATATATGTGGGAAAAAGGGTTTGTGACTGGACTTTATCTGTGGGTTTAGATTGTTGGACCCCCAGCTGCACTCCTTAAGGCTGTGAAACAGTGAGGCAAAGATGAATGACCACCTGAATGAATATCAGATGCCAGAGAACCCATTTATAATTTAAATAGGATACTTAAGTTGCAAGCTGTCTTTGAAATAATAATCAACCAGACAGCTACAACTCTTGACCTTCTTGCTGACCAGTCTACTCAGAGGAGAACTGCAATATTTCAACACGAGATGGTATTAGATTATTAATTAGCTGAAGAAGGGAGAGTGTGTGGCAAATTAAAGTACTCAAACTGCTGTTTGCAAATAGATGACAATGGAAAGGTGGTAAAACAGATAATAAAAAGAATAAGAAAGTTAGCTCATGTACCAGTCCAAACATGAAAATTCTTAAAAACGAGATTCACTTAATAAATTATAAAAAGAATTTAATATAAACAAAAGACAATTAGGAGACAAAAGAAATAAAGCAAAGGGTTAAAACAGCCGGGTGCCCTGGCGCCTTGCCAGGAACACACCTGGTATCTCAGGAATATCCTTTTTATCCCATCCTTGCTGTGAGAGGTTAATGCATATTCAAGCATGTCCCCTCCCTGGTTCCACCTTCTTGGATCATGTTATTTTCTGCTGGTCAGCATAATTTTTGCTGGTCATCATTATTCTAGCTGGTCAGCATTATTTTGGAGTTTTTGGTTTCCTTTTTGCTGCAGATGGTCACTTGTTGATAAGAGTCCGGGCCCCTCATCCTTCCCCTGAGGGCAGCTGGGCTTCATATCTTCCGCTGATAACAGTTTGGGCTCTATTGTTCTCCTGATAACAGCTTGGGCCCAGTGTCCTTGCCCTCTGGGGTTTTCTTGCCTTGTACCTAGGAAATTCTTTTGAATTTAAGACTTGTTAGCATAGCTAAAAAGTATTTAATATATAATATTCATCTGCGAAAGCCAATATCACAATACAAATTTATAACAGAAAGGATCGGAATGGAACATGTTTTCATGATTACCTGGTGGACTGTGGGTTAAACAAATGCTTTTTCTCGTCTGTGTTGTAGCAACTCTAATCTTTTTACCATGCACGACCCCTTGCTTAGTACAACTCATTCAACATTTGATCAAAAGGATGCAGGTAGTAGCCATGCCTACTGACCCAGAGATGGCTACAATAGGGCAGAACATGAGGCCACTGCAAATAATTGCAAAACCAAAAAAGAGCCAAGAACAAGAAACTAAGTCAATGATAACTAAGGTTTGTAAAGACAATTATTAAATTAAAAGAGGAGGGATTAAGAGGAATGACAGGTTTGTCTTTACAAACAAGCTGCGGATCTGCTGGTAAGATGAAACTATCACTGAGAGATAACAGAAACAATGGGATGGATTCCACTGAAAGAGGAAAGAGATGCTGGAGAAACACCATAAAATTCCACAAGAGTTAAGAATTAAGAAGGGGATTATGCATTGGGGGTGGGTGGTCTCAGATATCAGGCATTCTGGGAAGTCTGTACCTCTCAAGTACCTCAGCCTATGGGGAAAGAGAGAAGGGACATACGGCCGGGAATTAGGATAAAAAGGAGGCTGCGCCCTCCAAAAATTTGAGAGGCCCCAGGGAAATGCCCCATGGCCTCTCCCTTTATTCGAATAAAGTAAAAGGACTCATCTGTCTTCTTTTTGGACATAAACCTCTGGTATTTGTGGATTAATTTTCCTGACAGGTTCTTCAGAGGATGGTTGAGTACTGGAACAGGCTCCCCAGGGGCGTGGTCATGGCGTCAAGCCTGTCTGAATTCTAGAGGCATTACCCTTGGGCACATGGGGTAACTCTTGGGGATCGTCCTATGCAGGGCTAAGAGTCAGACTCGACGATCCTTGTGGGTCCCTTCCAACTCAGGATACTCCGTGATTCTGTAAATTGCTGAGATCGGTGGCCGGGAGCACACACCGGTAATGACGTAACTGCGGGAAACCGCCCTCCTTCCTTCGGCCCCGTCGCCTGAGGGGAGCGAACTACAACTCCCGGCGTGCAGCACGGCGCCGGCCGCCGCTCCGATTGGCTGCCTTCCCCCGCCCTCCCCTTGTGACTGCGCGAGGCTGGTGGCGGCGCCTCCCGTGCGCTGGGGCAGGGGAGCCACATGGCGGCGGTGGCGTGGGCGCAGCTTCTTCGGGGGGCGCGCGGAGCGGCCTCGCGACGCGTCTGCAGCACCAGGGCTCGCGCCAGGGCCGCCTCGGCCGTCGCGCAGGTGAGGGAGATCAGGCGGGGCCGCAATGCAGGGGGGCTTCAAATCCGGCAGCGGGCGGGGGACGCTGGGGAGGTCAGCCTTGCGGTGCTGCTGGAGGTCGCGTTTGGAAGTTTGAGTGCCGGGTCGGTGCCTCGTCCCTTAGAAGATATGTTTCTTGGAGGGGCGCTCTGGTAATCGTGGCAACGCCTGGTGGGGCGACCAGGGGGCTTGGGCACAGAGGGCGGGGGTTGGCAGCACGGTGCAGAGAAATGCAACCTTATCCATAGAATTTTGCAACGTATCCCGGGCCGACCCGTGGTTTGTGCGGTGAACGTGACCTGATTATGTATAGGGGGGAGGAAAGAGTCAACAAAATATGCAGTAATACATAATGCTATGTCCTTCCTTTGTTGAAATGTCACCCTTTGGAATTACGTGGGATACGCAGTCTCATGGACCGAGCCGGTCCCGTGCTCCTGCCAAGCCAAAGGAGACATTACACAACGCTCTTTGATAAACCTGGGTCAAAACCCGAGTGGTTTGTCAGCTTTCGGTGGTTGTGATGCGATGGTCCTTCGAACTTCGCACAGAACCTGTTTGTTCTAGTGCTGGCGCGAAATCAAATCAGGTGTTGCCCTCATACAGCTTCTCCCGGTTCAACTTTCGATCCCTGGGGTGGATTCGGTCTCTTGGTGTCCAAATGCAGGAGAAAAAGCTGCGTGGAAAAGATTCTGTAAGTGTCTAGCAGAAGTAGGGCATGGCACACAGAGCAATCCCAACTGGGACGTGATTTACTGAGTTACTTGCAATTGCATGGCTGTCTTTAACAAACAGAAAATAAGCTAAAGCTAAGTGACAGAATCCGTGTTGCCAGAATTGAATGCATTCATTGCCATTTACTTATGTACAGGAAACAATGGATTCATGCATTGCTTTATTGAATGCTTACTTGACTCGGAAAACTAGAAAGGTTATTGAATTTGATTTGTTTATTTGTTTTCCTAGGCCATGAACATTTTTATAAATTCTGATTAGAATTACTTTTCACTTCTTTCTTTACATCAGGTAGCTTTAACTAATATTCAGGAACACATTTGAGAGAGTTTGATTACAACATCCATATAAAAGCTGTACTTCCCTTAGGGGCAAAAAGCCATGGTAGCTGAAGAATGGGATGGGGGATACTCATTTGTATGCATAATAAATATGAGAAGTGTGCCAGGGCTCTGGCTTATATTCTGCAGGGCTTGAGAAGCGAGCTAGTGTTAAAACAAAGGCACTGCAGACTTAGCAACTATACAGTGATAATATACTCACTGCTCCTTTCTGTTCTCAGTCTCTCCTGGGATTCATCTGTAGAGAGAAGCAATTTGTGTTACAGCCACAGGGAACAGTGAAATGTTCCTTCAAATGAGAGAACACTCAAAACAGTTGTTAATGCTGCTTGTCTGTGCTGGAGCTACAAGTACTCATGGGTTCTGTTTAGTTTCCTGAGGGAAGGAGGTTGTGCAAAAGGGAGAAGAGAGCACTAGACTATATTTCAGTCTCCTTTAAAATGGTCAATCCAACTATGGAAGGAAGAACTCTGTAACTTAGGCAGTTCAAGAGACAACTGGGAGGATGTATCCAAAGCCATCCATTTTAAGTATTTTGTTAGGTTGCAAACAGTGGGTTTGGTACAGCTGCTGTACTAGCGGTGTGTGGTGAACAATTTACATATTTGAATCTTGGTTTTTGAAATACAGTTATCAGTCTTGGAGGCGTGCACAGAGTAGAGTTCCTTTTTCTAGGACTAAAACAGTCACTCTGAAAGCAGTATTTTCACAGTACGATTGTGTGGAAATGTTTGTTTGGATTTTTTTTTTTTTTTACTAGTTCACAGTTAACAAAGTTTGATGCTATCCTGCCATCTTGTACCCATGATAATGTATGTCCAGATTCTATTCTTGAATTAAAACAATCAGGTAGGATTACCTATTTCTACTGCAAAACTGGAAATCGGCATTCCTTTTAAAAAAATCTTGTCTAGATGTATCATGCCCAGCAAGGGTCTTGATACAAAGTTTCACTTCATTTTACTCCATCTGCTTTTGTAGATGCTGTAATCCAAACACAACCATCTGAAAATTTCTGTGGCCACAATGAAGCCTTCAGTGCTGGGATAAAGTGGAGAGTCCAGCTTGTCCAGAAAGACCTTGCATGGCCCTAATTCTCGGCCAATCATGTCTGAAACTCTCTGTGTGCTGCTGCTCTTTTTTGTGGGTTATTGGTGGCTATCCCTGGGCAGTGCTCTCCATGCCAGTACGCACAAGTGTAGCCTGCTGTTTGGGGTCAGTTGTTGGGCAGCAGCTGCTGAGCCCTCACAAAAACACTTGTCTTGGACTTCTCAGCTCAGACCTCATTCTGGCACTTGGCCTACCATTTCAGCCACTGCAGTTGTCTGATTTCCAGGTTGAATCAAGGACATGATGTCACCCCTTCCTTACAGATGAAGATGCTAAAGGTGAGGCATGAAAGAGAAGAGCTCTTGCTGAGTTGTGTCTGTGAATCTGCAGCAGTGTTAGGTACTACACTGAGACAGCAGTGCTGTGCACAAACCCAGCAGGATTGCAGGAGCTTGAAGAGCCAGTGGAGGTAGGAGCAGCAATAACAGTGTCATGGGTACACAAGCTGTGGTAGCCCCTGAAGCCTGTGCAGAAGTTTTCACAAGCTTTACTTTTATATAGTGCACAAATACCACTGGGGATGAAGTGAAGGTGAAAGTGTATAGGAAGGATAGTACTTGATCTTCAGCTTGATTAGTAGATAAAAATTCTGTTGTCTGCCCCCTTGTGTTTCATTGAGCCTTTCTAGTATCTGCCAGTTTGTGGTGTTCCTGGTGGTTATTGATACCTCTGCTGAGGTATCAATACAGCAGCTTCCAATTTTGCTGCATTGTTAGAAGAGTTTTGGAAATCAGAGGTGAATTGTCAGGTCTGAAGGGTTGACAGCTTGTTGAAATATAGCTGCTAGGTGCATTCATCTAAGCGCTCATTCTTTCAGAACTAGTAGAGAACATGTAGTTGACAGCCCAGAGAATGAACCTGTTTTTTTCATCGATCAGATGAAGCACACTATGTGAAAGGGCATACTTCTCCCATGTGCAGAAGTATCTCCTGTTGACTATGGAGAGAGGGTAGTGGGGACTTGTGGGTTACAGACATCCCTTTTGAGTGAGAAAGTTGTGTAATTGATACTTTAAAGTACCAGCAGCCATCCACCTTTTCCTATTCCAGGGAACTGAATACCCCTTTTGTGTAGCCTGGGAGCTGTAGCAGGCTTTTGCGTTCTTTTGTTTCAGTAGCTCTCACAAAGGCTGCAACTGACAAGGTTCAACCTCAACCTATTCTTCCCCTTCAGAGAATCCTACTTACACAACAACCTGAGGGAATGCTTTATCCTTGCCCTGAATTACTAGGAAGGCAGCTGAGTTTTCATCTCTGATAACTAGCCTCTTCTGTGGTATTGATAAAAATATGAGTCAGTGCTGGGTTGGGTAGCAGTTTTGGTAGTACAGGATCCACCTCTGCTGGAGTTCAAGCTGATGGTACTGGAATATATACTGGTATCTCCTAATTCCTCTGTGCTGAAATCTAACTGATCAGAAACTGAATGGCTTGAAAATTCCATCTCCTGTCATTCTACCAGACAAACCCATTTCTGTACACAGCAAGAAAATGATGGAAAGAAGCTCTAATAGCTGTGTAAAACGTTTTACTTTTCATTTCTAAAACCCCCTACTTTGCAGTAGTGTACTACTTGTTTCCAATAGAAACTTTAAAGTTTGTTGACACCAATTTATTGCTGAGTGCCTGTTCTTTTAATGCTGCTTCTTGACAGTTCACTTTAGAGTAATTAATGAAGAGCAGTGTTATTCCTTTTACTTTAGCTACCTTACCTATAGCAGACATGCAGATGGATGACAGATCACCAACAAAAGTGGTCTCCTGTGTCCTACTCCAGTGCTAGCTCCTTCCTGAAAACAGGAAATTATTTTAAACATATTACTGTCTTTGAAAGTATGCAGTTTTGTCTTTCATTACATAAAAGCATGAAAGTGTCCCTCATTTTCCCCCACCTTTCTTCCAGGGAGGACAGCTTTTCCCTTCTTTCCCTCCCTGTAATGCACACTCTAAAACTGTGAGGCAAGAGGTTTGTACTGTTTTGTCTTCAAGTGGAGTGGCAGGGAAGCCCAGTCCTGAAAAATAAGAGTTAGTGGGAAAGAAACAGAAAAGGGCTCCCACAAGAGGGGCTCAGATAATCTTAAACCTGGGAGTGCTTTCCCTCTCAAATGTGAGCACTTTTCCAAAATAATAGGAAGGAGAATATCAGATATCCAACCAGGCCAGAAAGCAGCATAATTTTCAAGAAGAAAACATTTCTTTGTGTTGTGTTTTTTTCTGAGTTTGGCAGATTTAAAATACCCTTAGATTTAGCCTGTTCAGGGGTGAATTTTCTGACTGGAAAAGATAAAGAAATTAAGTCCGGATATTTAACCTGGCTTGTATTTGGAGAAACAGAATAAGTGGAACAGAACCAGCATTTCTATCAAAGCAAAGGATTCTCAATTTGGGATTTTCTGGGTAAACTAAAACTGTACAGAGCTCTATAGCAATCTGCACACCCCTTGGCTGGAGCATGTTCCCGGGGTGTTTAAAAACCAGATGACTTGCTCTGCATGCTGCAGGAAGGGGAGGTGAACGAAAGTGTGTGAGCAGCGGGTGTGGCTGCAGAGTGGTTGCCAATTACACTTTTGGTGCTGCAGGAAGGAAAGGCCACATCTTGGCAGGGCTGGCCTTGCAGCCCATCTGCTTCTGCCGTTGCAGCCCCTGAAACTGAAAGGAATTTCTTTCTTCTGGCAGAAAAGCAGTTCTGGGGAAACTACTCCAGCAGTTTTATCAGGGGTAAATACATGTTTTCTGAGCTTTGAAACAGCCACTTTCTATCTCCTTTGTTTTTTGCAGCTCCTCTCTGCTATGGATATACTTACAGTGAGGTTTTCTTATCTTACTGTGATAAACGGGCCAGGAGACCAGCTCCTTTTAAAAAGGACAGCTTTGGGGTGGGGGCCCGAGGGGTTGTGCACACCGCCACTGCTCCCACTGGACACCGCAGAAGAGGAGGATCCATGCAGCTCTGTTACTAGGGCAGAGCTGGGCCTTCCTTCCTCATGGGAGTCCCCAGGAAGACTCGCTCTTTAGGGCTCGTAGTCTAGGCTGTCATCCCAGTCGAGTCTCCTCTAGGTGATGTCGGCCTCTGGAGAGAAGTCAGGGGACTCCTCTGGGTCTTCCTTGTTAGATGGTGCTGGTTTTATTCCTTCCCTTTTGCGTGGCTCGTTGTTTTGGGGTTTTTTCCAGTCTGGGTGCATCCCATAAGTCTCTGGTCTCTCTTGTTTGCATAAAAGTCAGTATGTCATCTTCCTCCTCAGGACGGTACAGCAACTCGGGAAAGGGATACAATGTTGCCATGTGGGAGTCTAGGAGCAGTGGGGCAGTGCCTGGCTGAACACAGAACAAGAAACACAGGGTACAGCAACTTGGGAGAGGGGGCAGGGCCTGGCTGAACAAGGAACAAAAATATGGGGTACAGCAATTTGCGACAGGGGTACAAGGGTAAGTAAACCTGGGACAGGGGTACAAGGTAAGTAAGGAGTTTACAAACAGCAACTGTAACATATTATTCTTAACATTACCACAAAAGCTGTTTGGGTCAAGTGTAGTGGATTGTTTAAAGTTAAGGGAAAAGATTGTGCTGCCAGGAACAACTGCTTCTGCTTTTAAGTTTAGAAGGAGCCTGGTTTTAGCACAGCTGGAAACAAAATTGCTGTGGCTGCTGGTGGCTGAAGTTGGGTGGATCACCAGATAACCTTGGCTGTCTGGCTGATTTGATCACTGAGGCTCCTCTATGGCTTCCACCCACCCACAAATGTTCCTTACAAATGTTTTCAGGAGAAAATGTTTTGAGGAAGCATACCTGGATGGTTCAGCGTTTTAGCTGGACATTTCTAGATTTCTTGCAAGGGCTGTGGGGAAATCCTGTGCTGGATTAGCTCCATTGGTTACTAGGGATGACCAGAGTCAGGGAGCTGATTGCTGTGGCTGTGTGTGTTCCTGCCCAGTCTCTTGGCATCATCCCATACATTATGATTTTAGTATGTCTGGAGACTGCACAGGTTTTTCACTAGATTTGAGTCATGACTTTTGCTTAGGTCAGTAGTTTAAATACTCACTAATGTGTCATTTTGTCTGGTTCCTAATTCTACATCTTAAATTTATGTCAAAACTTTATTTAATCCTTTGCCTGCTGCAGCATATTGAGACTAGTTGGCACAATTTCAACTTGAGGCACAATTCTGCAGCTGATTCATACACACACGAACTTTGTGAACACCATGTATACTGAAAAGGTTTTGTGTGTGCCTTTTCAGCAGATCTGAAATTCACTGTATATCCAGGAAGCCTTTATTTGTCTTCTGGTTTCCATAGCTGTTAAATGTCTGTATGTGGTTAAGTAATGAGAACCCGGTGAAGGTGGTTCCCTTAATTATTTTTTTTCTCCTCTGGTTTATTTTGTGATGCTACGAAGCTGACCTCATTTATGAGTTACCAAATTGACCTCCTATGGAATGTTAATTTAACTCTGATGTAGTAGATGAAAATACTTAGCAGAGTTTGAATTATGTTGTTTTTGGATATTTGTATATAGGGCCTGAACCAAGTCTCTGCCAGCTGATAAAAGTATGTTGATAAACTCTTGCTTTTCTGCAGTACCGTGATAAGAGTTTATTCAGTTACTGTATGTTTCACTTGAGGTACCAAAATATTTTCCAAAAGTAACAGAGTGGTTTCAGCTGTGCTTTACAGGTATAGAAAAAGAGAGCTATAACATTGTACTTTGAAAGGTACAGGCTAAAGGCAGTGGGACTCCCTGCATTTACACCTCACTATAATTAACTGTTCTGGCATTGATGGTACTGATATTTTTAAGTTACTTGGTATAAACTTGAACTGTATTCTTTTGCAGCTCGTATTTGGGATATTTATTTTGATACCTAATGTGGACATAGAAGCCTAGAATGGTTTGGGTTGGAAGGGACCTTAAAGATAATGTAGTTCCAAACCCCTGCCATGGGCAGGGACACCTTGAACTGGATCAGCTTGCTCAAAGCCCATCCAACACTTCCAGGGATGGGGCATCCACAACTTCTGTGGGAAGCCTGTTCCAGTGCCTCACCACTCTCACAGTTAAGAATTTCTTCCTAATATCTAAATCTACTCTTTTCAGTTAAACACCATTTGCCTTTGTCTTATCACTAGGAAGGAGTCCTTGGAAGAAGTCCCTCTCCAGGTTTCCTGTAGTCCCCTTCAGCTACTAGAAAGTGTTATAATGTCTCCCCAAAGCCATCTCCTTCCCAGGCTGAACAAATCCAGTTTTCTCAGCCTTTCACTCTTAGGAGAGGTGCTTCAGCCATCTGAGCAGCTTTGTGGCTTCATCTGGTCTTGCTCCAGCAGGTCGTCATCCTTCTTATGTCCTTATTCTAGAGGGCAAATACTCATATTTCCCAAAAATTGTGTTGCTCTAGAATATATCACATTGTGCTTAAAAAAAAAACAACTCCAAAATCATAAGTACAAATCACTTGTAATAGTAACTTCATGACAGTTAAAGAAATTTTTAAAATCCTGATCTTTTTTATTCAGTTTGAACAGGTGTTCAGAATCACACGTTTCTCTTCCAGTTCCACCATGTCTTTTATTATTTTTCATCTTTTAACTGAGACAAGCCCTTTGGAAGTATTCTGTTGTATGGGTTTAGGCAGGAAGACTTTGTTGGAAGTGAAGACAGGTGTCATGGAACATAATTGTATATAGCAATAATTCAGTTTTGCTGTTAACAAGATGTTAATATTGCACATGGAATATGATAGGAACACAAGCAGAGATTCAGTGTTTCATCAATTCAGGTTCTCTTGTGCTGAAGGGCAGGAAGAGCCCTTCCTCTATAATTTCATTTACCCAAGGGCTGTAGTAAGCGTAGGCGATCCTGGATCATTAATTCTGGGAAGAGACAGGCAGCTGAACAAAAACACCTTCTATTCTGCACAAAAAGCCTGAAGCACCTGTGGCAAAGACAGGTATCTTAAAATGCACAGGGAAAATTGTAGAAATGGATTGTGAAACTTAATAAATGGCCAGTTTTGACAATGGTTTTCCTTGGGCAGCTGTCTATGTGGGGAAGAATAGAATAATAATTATCAGTTGAGTTCAGAGTTGATATTTATACAGCAAGCTGACAGGGTAGCCATTCAAATATTTAACACTTGCTTGTTTTTGTTACAGGAATTACAGAGCTCAGGAAGCAGACGCTTTGTGCTAGAACGTGCTGCTCCATTCTCTGCTTTTTTGATGGACAGCTTTGGGCGGCAGCATAATTACTTGCGAATTTCATTGACTGAGAAATGCAACCTCAGGTGTAAGTGTCTGCTGTTTCCTTGCACAAAACTCCTCTGTGCATCTTGTGTGGCGGCCAGGGTTTGGGTTAGGGTATTATTGCTGTGTTGGCCCTGTGCTGTTTCTTGTCTTCACGAAGTAACAATAAAGGACAGATAGACACTAATTTGGGCTATATTACTGGTGGGATGGGAAACCTGGAGCAAGCCTAGGGATCTGCCAGAGACAAGTGGAAATGACAGATCTTTTATGAGACTTAGTGTGGTTTAGATAATGATGCTTGTGTGCTCAAAGTCTGCATAAGCAGGAGAGCTTATACCTAGGCATTCCCACAATTACGTCTGCAAAGTTTGTGGTGATGTCTCAGTGCTTGCTGGTTGAACTTGGTGTCTCTGAATGCAGGTTAGATAGAAATAAGGTCATCTTTTTCTTCAAAGTGGATCCATTGTAATTTTGAGGCACATCAAATTAGTCTTGGGTTTTCCTCTGAAGTAAACCAGGAAATTTTTAGGAAATTGTAAAATTTTTGCACAGTTGGTGTCATCTGACATCCGTTAAAGACGGCTGCCCTTGGTACATTTTGCCCATCAATATTAGATTAATTGTCACGGGTTATTTTTTGCCTCATGTATTTCTGTAATCTTTGTTTCAGGTCAATACTGTATGCCTGAGGAAGGTGTTCAGCTGACTCCAAAATCAGAGCTACTAACTGCTCAGGAGATAATCACCTTAGCCAGATTGTTTGTGAAAGAAGGTGTGGAGAAGATCCGACTGACAGGTGGAGAGCCACTTATCCGTCCCGATGTGGTGGATATTGTGGGTGAGTTCTAAATCAGTACAGTGTTTCAGAGTGACTTGGTACATGTCGATCCCAAAATTGCTCTTACAGCTATCTACTGACACAGTCTGGCAACCAGAAGAATAATTACACATTTAATTGTGGTGTATTTTCCCAACATTGTGAGCTGCAAGATACCTTTCAGAAAATTTCCAGTTCTGCTCTGTTGCTTGGATGGAACTCACATGTCTTTGTATTATACCACCTGAACTTAGCATTGTTTTTATATTCAACATTACTACAGTAGCTTGCAATAGTGCAGCCTGTGGGTGAAAAATCAAGAGCTTATATGATCAGGTTCTCAGTGAAGAAGAACAAGTGATACGTGCTTACAAACAACACAAAGCTTTCTCTTTGATTTTTTTAGAGTGTGGTTTTTTGGTGGTTTGTTTTGCTACATTGATAGCAGATGTCACTTGATTGTGTTTAATAAGGAATGGTGGAAAAATCTGTTTTTTCAGTTATTGATGAAGACTGTTACTTCAGTGGAAGGTAAATTACTGGGTAAATTTTAGATGTCTGTCTGCTTTGATTGGTATTGTGTCAAATGACAGTGCCTGGATCTTTTGTTCTTGAGACAGGTGCTTTTTTCTTATGTCCAAAGTCTCATGTTAAGAAAATTGCAGTAGATTTTTGTAGTGACAATGTATTAGATTAAGGCTGTGTAGATTAGTGTATGTTGGTGTAGTGTAGACAATGAACTTGTCTATTTCTGGACATACACCCTTCTAAGTACTGAAGATAAGAAAAGGTTTATGTGGAAGAAGATCTTGAAAGAAGAGAAATTGTCTACGAATACAGTGAGCTTTTGTGCAGAAAATAGTTGGTATCTGTCTCTGCTTTGTTTTGTTCAGGATTTGGATGGAAGCCCTTTTTCAAAGAAGATGACCTTCCAAAGGAAGCAGCAGAGCTGTTGTAGTTTGTAGAACTGATCTGTTCATAGCTGGAAAAGTGTGACTGCAGTGAGCTGGGTCTTGAACTTCAATTGTGAGGAGTTCCGAAACTTCACTAACTTTTTGGAACTGTGAAATATCATTGTCTAGAACATTTTGCCCATGCATGATGGGTTTGGGATGGTTTTATTACTGAGGATGCTATATGCCTTTCAAGAGACATGTTTCTTTCCAGATAATAGAGTCTTCCCAATGATTATATATATAATTATATATAGTATATATTATAGTATAATTATTGGCTCCTGTAAAAGGGAACTAGATTTATAAATTAGGTTGCAATTTAACATACAATAAAGCTTTGTAGTTCAGCACATAATATTGACATGAAAACGAGTTGAAACCAACCATGTAATTAGTTCAGTGCAGAACTTTCCTAATGTATTGTAGGCACGTTTTTATTTATCAGTGGTAGCTGATGACTTAACACAGCTATTCTGATTTTGATAGTCTAAGTGCAGTAGTCAAGTCACTGAAAAATCATTACTACTTTGCTGCAATCCAGAAGTATTGGTACTGGAAGGATAGACATCTTTTTGTTTTGCTTTACTCCAGTGATAGAATTCTCAAAGGTTTATTTTTGTGCCTGAAAGAAAGAAACGTATCTTTTTGAACTAGTGCGTTTTCATTATTCTGCCCATGTTTCTGTTCACAGCTGAACTTTGACACATTCATAGTGATCATTTTAGTGGATAACAATAGTGCTCTTGGGGTGAAGGTAAGAGATGTTAAGATGTTTGTCCTGTTGAATTAGTTCATTCTGTTGTGAATTTGTATTAGTCTGTCTGGGTTTTTTAAGGCCTGTTGAAAATTATTGAATTAGGTCTACATAGACATTCTGTTTGGTTTGGGATGGTTCCGGGACTCTGTCTGATCCCTGGCCAACTTCCCAGGCAGGGGTCCCACAAGGAACAGCTGTCTAGGGGTCTCAGTTTCCAGCCGAGGTTAACCTGTATGATCTTGGATTGAGGCTTCAAGTGATCAGCTCTTTTAGATGTGATTTCAGCTCTAGTGATCAGCTCGGCTTGCTCATGAGTTACCCCAGCTGATGCGTGGATGAGAGATGGGGGGCTGTGTAGCATTCCACAGAGTCCTTCATTGGCAGGTTTTAGTGAAGGGGGCTAGTGGCTGCCACATCCACTGAACTGGGCAAAAGCTGGGGTTTTTAAAGGGAAAGGGTTCAATGGTTTAAGACTGGGGTAAAATTACCAATAGTTTACAAGGAGATAACATGGGGTCCTGAAGCAGGAAGGGGTCCACAGCTTAGTCACCATGACTAAGCAGTTTTGTTTTATCTTAGGGAACAGATCTCCAAGGCGGAAGCCTTTGGGAGGACTGGCCTTCCTTCACACTGTTTTCTCAGACTTTGATGTTACTCTATGGTGCCCCAGTCTGGAATCAAGAGATTCAAAACTAAAGAGATCAATGTAATAACTATGGGAAAACTCATTGATGGAAAATCAAGGCCAAACATGTCTTCTGCAGAATTTGAGTAAAGCATCTTTATTGAAGCCATCTTAGCTTCAATATGTACTGGTTTGGTCTGGAATAGTTATTCTGGTTTTCTAGATGGTTTTGGAGAAGCTAGATACAGTTATCTCCAGTGCTGAACTGGGTTTAGGTTTACTTTCAGCAAGTCTTTCTCCAAACTATAAATTATCTGTGAAATACCAGTAAAGCTCAAAAATATTAATGCTGAATTTCTGTTACCAATTTTTTTAGTACAGAAATTCAAGTTTTTTAGTTGTTTCAATGAACAGATGTAATTTGAAGCTACTGTACAAGACCATGCTATTCAAAGACCTGCTACAGTTCTTTAGATTATTTCAAATGTTTTAACAGATGCATGTACATAAACTATCCACCATCTAACACTTGCTGAAAGCTAAATCATGTCCTGGGGCCTGCTGAAAGCATATGTTTGAGACTTTTCTGAAGCAGCTGATAGTAGAATATAGAATCCATCTCCTCTGAGATACTCAAAGTTTAAATAAGCACCGGATATAAACACTGTGATAGCTGTTTATTATTAGTAGTCTGAAGAGTACATATCTGCACTGACAAAATAATTTTCTGTAGGGTGGAGGATGGAATATTGGATGACTTTTTATAGCAACTTTTTATACCCATTTCAAGAGTGAAGTGGTGTAGGATAGACTTTTTCGTTCATGTGTTAGGAACCATACACATCTTTTCTGGAGACAGTTGGGAGAAGTGCGGTTAAGGAAATGATTGGAGGAGAATATGTAGGAAAATTGTCTATTTAAGAAGATGCTCTTGATCCTAAAGGAAAATATAAATGTAAAATAGTTTACGTCATGGCTCAAGCTTGACATACAAGTTTTAGCTTCATACTATGGACTTACAGCATCTGTTCTGTTTTCTTTTCTACTTGTTAGTTTCTGTCAGTTGCCTTTGCTTGTGCCAATTGGTGCTAAAGCAGTGACCAAAGGTCAGCAAACAGGTTTAATACAGGTATGAGGAGAGTTACAAAGTTATGAAGTCTCTTCAATACCTGTTAATTTTAGAGGTCAACAAGTCAAGAAACCAAGACACTGTGAAGGTTACACCTAATAGAGTGTTCTGACTGGTCCTTTTTAACTTGTTGATGTAAGTGTTAAGCCTCCATCTCTACCTTCTCACAGTTGACTATGGTCCAATTCGTTACTACCGGTGATTCCATGGATTAGGTTATTTCTAGTGCCTCATCCTGTATCTTGCTCTGTCTGGTAAGGAAAAAGATGCATCGACATCGTCTGCTGCCTGCACTGAGCTAATCAACTGGTGCTACTTCTTAATTTTTTTTCCATTTTTGGCTGTAGAATGATGTAAGTTTTATTCAATACCTTTATGCATTTTAAATTTCTAGCAACAAAACCTGTATGGCACCTAGACTTTTTTTCCCAGTTGTTATGATGTTGAACATTTTATGCATTCTGAGGCTATAAATAAAAGTAGTGATGTTCCCAAACTATCCTCTGGCTGCAGCATGTAGCCTTTACTCTCACAAAGATTAGGCTGCTAGTGATAGCTAGTATTAAATAATCTTTGGCAAAATTGAGCCAGTAGCACTTGTCCTCTAGGAAGAGGTTATTCTTGGTCATTTGGGAGGACTTTGAGAGCTGAAGGCCAGGGAAAAAAATCTCTCTTCGTAAAGATTGCTCTTTCCCTACAACCTCATGTCTTTATGGAGCTCTTAATCATGTTTCAAAATGCTGCTGGTCTAAACTTCAGCATCTTTGCTGTGACCTAGCTAGACCCTTTCCAGACTTCTGGACTCAGGGTGCATATTTTGAGAAGACCTAGGAAATGAGATAAAGCAGAAATAAAGCCCTTATCAACATGAACAAATAGAAGTAAAATAATGAGGGAAGAAGGAACCGTGAAATATTTGTACTGTAATTACAGCTGCCTCAAGAGTAAGGGTTCTTCAAATACTTCTTAAATAATTAGGGTGGAGGCTCTGAGGAACGGAGGAAAACCCAAAGTAAATTACTTTGCTGTGGCTCTGCTTCTGTGAGTTGTTTATGAGGGTTTATTTCTTATTTGTTATTGTACTGTTAACTGGAGGTTTGAAAGCTTGATCTCTGGAGATATGGTATGCTGAGGATTTCTGCATTTGGCTTATGATGGAGGGAGGTCTTTTCTAACTCTTAATGTCATGATATTAACTGTTTTTTACACTGTTTTCTTTTGTTAGTCATTTTTTAGTGTCTTGCGTAAGCACTCTCCAGTCTGCTGGGCTACCACTGGTAATGGAAATATTTCAGTTGTCAAGTGCAAATGTTTTGTCCATTTGGATGTTGTTGTCTTGGATTCTCTGTAACAGTCTAGTATGTTGACCTTTTTCGGTTTAGTTAAGACTGCATGTGGTATTTCTTTAATAAGTTTAAAATCCTACTGCTGACAGCTACCTCTGAACTGGTTTGTGGTAAAGCATTGTAGGATAAATGTTGCTAAATAATAAACAGGACAGGTGTCAGCTGTGAAAGTGATGGCTTACTGCTTATTATTATTGCTGAGCATAAAATTCAGTTTGCAAAGGTGGATGAGGAAAAGAAAGTAAACAAAATCAGGGGCTGCCTTTCAACAATAAATTTGATATTTGAGAAATGAACAAAATTAGTGTGTGTTTTAATGAAACAAAACTTTGCCATCAGTTTCACTTGCAATAAACTGCTCTCATACCTTTTGAAATGGATTTATGCTAAAATTTGTCTCTTAAACCAATACATCTGGAAGGAGGCCAAAGCACTGAAGTGTCCACATTTTCTTGACATCAACGAAAGTATATGATACTTTTCTCTTTGTTTTGCAGATCTTTTGGGTTTTCTGTGTAACTTACAGTTTAACTACTTTTTTAAAGTGTTCTTTTTACTTTTTATTTCCTAGGTCAATTGTACAAGCTAGAAGGGCTGAAAACCATTGCTGTCACAACCAATGGGATCAACTTAACCAGACTGCTGCCCCGGCTGAAGGAGGCAGGACTGAATGCAATTAACATTAGCCTGGATACTTTGGTGCCAGCTAAATTTGAGTTCATTGTCCGAAGGAAAGGTACAAACTTGTCTTCTAAGGCAATTGTGTTAATACTTGCAGAAGTGTAGTGAGTTGCTTACCATATCTTTCACAGTTGGTTACTTTGGGAGGAAAGTGAATTGCTGTCCTTCTGAGGCTAGGAAAAGTAGTCTGTACTAGATTATTCAGTAGAGACTTTTTTCTTCTTTCCGTAATGCTTAGCAGGTAAAGCTCCTTTTGTTGGAGCTGGTGAAGTAGAAGTTGCTCAACTCGCCACAGTTAGTCATGTGGTTAGTCATATAATCTATAATTGGTTAGTCATAGATCTCAAGAGGACTCTCCAAATCTTGTGTTTGTCTTATGTGCTGCTGTTACTGAATACTGTTCAAAAAGCCCAAATGTTTCTGCTATACCATCTGGAGACAAAGATGCCACAAGAACTGAATTTCTTGCCATGAATTAGTGGCAGTTTCTGGGAGTTATATTTGGGGTGTGCCAGCAGTGATTTCACTTGTGGTTAGTGATGTTCTGTATCCACTACTGTTTAATAGGAATAAACATAAATCATACCTGAGGTAATTTGAGGGGGGGGCTGTTGGATTTGTAACTTCTCTCCTACTGAGCAGGTAATTGCAGTTAACATTTTAAAAATGTTTGGATATGCCCAGTGTTACAGATTCTGGTTTAAATGAATCCTAAATCAACCATGGTTCAGCTTCATGGTTGGGCTTCCTTCCAAGATAAAACATCTTGTATCATTCTCTTCCTGTCCAGCAATATGACTTCAGCAGTCTGAACTTCTAATTCTGACAAAACCTCTAAATAGCCACCAGGCGGTGCAACAGCCTCAGATATAGGGGAAAGGATTATAGACATCTGGAACGCTGTGAGAAGTAATGTCAGCATTTGAATCACTGCTAGCAAACCGAAGTTCTGCTGGCAGGTGCAGAAAGGTGTCCTTGTCAACAGTCTCTATGGGAGCACTACTTCAGGTTTCTGTGTCATGGTGCAGAAATTAGTTCTTGTCATAAAGCTGACTGGAGCATCATCCTTCCAGTGTAGGCTATTGCATTGATCTGGTTGTGTCATGGCACAGTTGGCTCCCAGAGTGGTATCTGGGAGTATCTAATCAAAACCAGGTGTTGATTGTGCTCTTTCCTGTTGCTCTTTATGTTTGAGTGTTACCTGGTTTGTGACATTCATTAGGAACAAGCCCTTCTTTTACCACTGAAGGGGCAAACCTGAGCCTCCACCTTCCTGAATTATAAGGCCAGAGATCTTCATATCTGATTAGAAGCTGTTAGGAATGTGCTGCTCATAAAGTAAACTAAACGTTCTTAGGGGAAAGAGAGAAATTGCTCAACTGAATGGCATAGACAATGAACAGGGAAATTTATATTACTGAATATTTTTCAGCAGGAGAAAAAGTCTCCAAATCATAGATATTTTTTCTAAGCAGAGGTTAGGTAAAAATAGTAACACTTGAGTTCTGGCGCTTTGTGGGTTTTTTTTTTTTTGTGTTTTTTTTTTTTTGTTTGTTTGTTTGTTTTGTTAAGGTTAAAAGCTTAAATTATGTAAAAGCTTAAATTATGTATTTTTTTTTTTTTTTGGGGGGGGGGTGGTTTATTTAATAGCTTTCCAAGTATGGAATGAGCAGAGAATAGAGTTCCTGCCTTACTGAGCTACCCTGTCTCCTGTGGCAGTTCTAGGGGCAACAAGATATATAGCTCTTTTAAGGTGAGAGGGATTCCTGGTCTTGGACTCCTACAGGCTGATAACTCCTCTGGAAAGTAAAGGTGGCATCTAATTATGGAGCTTACTAGGAACTTAAAAAACTTTGAATAATTTCTTTGTTTTGCTGAAAAGTTGATGCAGGGTTTTAGGAAGATGAAGAAACTGTGTACCTTTGGTGCAGGTGCCCTGCATCACAACTGCTTCTACTTGCAGATGGTTGGGATAGACAAAATGAGATCGTCAGAGATCTCACTGATGTGTTGAAAGCACTTTAGAGTACCATAATATTTCTACTTTTTCCAATCTGCCACATTCTAAGGGATGAACAAATGAAAAATGCTTTCATGGAGGTAGCCAGTCTAACCTGTTCATGGCCTGTCCCTCTTTTTTTTGGTGTGTTTCATACAAGGGAAGTGAGGTAATGATGTACTGTAATTGTATCATTAAATGGAGGACTGAAGCCCTTTTTCCCTATAAGGGTTAAATGCTGGGAGGTTTTGTTCCATATAGGATTTTTCTGGATGGCACTAAGGTTCTCTGTACTGTAAAGGTGGCTAAAATTCTGACTTCAGAAGAAATCAAATATGATGAAAGTACTGAAATTTTTCATTGGGTGAAAGAGGAGAAGTGGTTACATTCTGGCCTTTTTAGTTATGTTGAGCTTCTCCTTCCAGTAATCCTGTGGTCACAGATTAGAATTTGTGAGTAGTAGCAGAGATTTTGGTCCCATTCATGGCTCTGGATTGTGCTTACAGCAGTGTATCATTATCTTTGTTGCCACAGTCTGCCTGCAGTCTTGGTTAATTGGAATGAGATCTACAACAGGTGCTGGAAACTTCCAGGGCACATGCATAAGTAGGTGGTGATTGAGGAGGGTGACTTTGCTCTTCACTACTCTTTGCAGCCAGGATTAGTGTTAGAACAGGCTTATTAAATAATTGTATCTTCTGCTTTCCTATATCTATGCTTTTTGATGCCTTTACTAACCAGAGGGTGGTGAAGTGAAATTTTTGTTCTTTAGTTTTCTTTTTTTCTGATTTTGAATGCATTCCATATTTAATGTGTGCAGGATACTGCTGAGTTACTTCTTTTTTCTGCTAAAGCACCTACAGAGTAATGAAGGTATGATCTGTTCACTAGAGAATCTGAGTTTCCAGTAGATCATAGGTAAGGAAAGGAGGGTGATCTGTGCAGAAAAGCAAAGAAACAGCATGGGGATTGTCATCAAAACTTCTTAGACATACTGCCCTTTTATTAGCATGTGTGAAAGTATTTGCTGTTGAAGACTACAGCTTTGGAAGAAGGAACACAGTCTCATAGTATTTGGTCTTTCATACCTGAGTTTCATGTGGAGAACAGGAATGGAATGTAGTTTAGAACCTGCCAGATTCTAAATCCTCCTTTGGATTCTAATCCTTCTTTGTGAAGAAGGATTCACAAACATGGGGCAAGCAGCTGAATACCCCCAACTCACCAGAAATGTGTGCTCAAAACTCAGGAGTTTGCTGTCTCATTCTTGCTCACCTCTGTTCTCCACCAGCTGCTGAGCATGGCAGGGAGGGAATAATACACAAAATATGAAATTGATGTCTTGAGGAAAGGTCTTAAACTTTAAACAAAGTTGACAGAAGAGGGGGTTTGAATGAGATCATTAAGAGGCTTTCCTAATGACCTTGGATTTCTAAAACTGCATTGTTGCTTTATTTTTCTTCCAGATTTAAGAGGTACATGTAGGGGAAAAGATGCGTGATGTAAATTAACTATATCTTTCTTTGTGAGAGCATCTGGCAGTTGTAGGCCACACTAAATGGTAGGATGAAACTGGGCACTTCATTCCTTGAAGTCACTGTAGTTTTTGACATCTTTCATTTGTTTTCAAGGGTCAAAGGCCAATTGAATTGCTTTCCTAAATGCTGTAATCACTGCCACATTTTTTTCACTAATTTCCCATGTTTAGTCAAAAAAATGATGATCCTGAAAAATGCTGCCTCTGATCTTCTGCCTAATGGATAGTCGGTAGCTTCAGGAAGTCAATTACATCTGTAGCCATGGTTGAACAGGGAATCAAGGGGCTTCTTGTTGTTCCTAAACCCATTCCCTAAATGTACTTTAGAAAATCCTTTTTAAATTCACTTAGCAACATTGCTGTCTGATTCAGAACAGAGAAATTCTGTCATTGTAGAAAAGACACAACCCATTACTATAAAATAAATATTAATTTATTATTCTTTCTTCATTGCATCTGGAGGCAGTTCATAAATTCTTTCCCCTCCCTTTAGAAGAATGTAACACAAGGAAAGCTGACTTATAGGGAAGTGCAGAATCATATGCTAATAATACATGGATTTTCAAAGATATAAAAAACCATACCACTATTGTTTGTTACTCAAATACTTGTTAAATATTGATCTCAATGACTTGAGCACAGTAACTTGGTAGTCTTTGGGGGTTGTGAGGGGGAATATAATTAAAGTCTCTTTATTTTCAGCTCTTCTTACTTACAGCCCTGTCTACTGAATCAGATTGTGTTTTATGATCCCTTTGTCTTGTACTAAATAACCAGCTTTTGCATTCTGCTTTGAAACAATAAAAAATATTTTTCACTCTTTTTGTATCTTAGGATTTCACAAGGTAATAGAAGGAATCCACAAAGCCACTGAACTTGGCTACCGTCCTGTTAAGGTAAAGCCAGTGTTTATTTACTCTGAAACTGTTGTGTTTTACCATACATACAGATCACCTGATGAGGAATTTATCATATTCCATCTCACCTCCCACCCCACTCTGTGAATAATTTTTAGTAAAACTGGAGAAAAACTTGAAGATCACATCAAAAAGTAACAAGGAGAATTCATATCATCTCCTTTTGCAGTTGGGAGTGCAGGTCATACTCCGCTCACTAGTTTCAGGTGTCTGCTTTACCTGCAGGTGAACTGTGTGGTGATGCGAGGCTTCAATGAGGATGAAGTGCTCGACTTCGTGGATTTCACAAAGGATCTACCCCTTGATGTGCGGTTCATAGAATACATGCCCTTTGATGGTAAGTACTGCTGCTTTGAGATTCTTCTTGGACAGAAGTGAGCTGGTTAGTGGATATTCACCCCATAGACTTGTCTCTGGAGGTTTTGGTAAGCTCTTTTAGAGAATTAGAAATTGCCTGAAGTTTTTTGCAGCTTATCTTCTTCCCTCCATAAGCTGTAGAAGGACTAGTTGGGGCTGGGACACCTATGGCTAAAGTGACACTTAAAGAGAATGTGAAGGTGGTTGTCTGCTAATTAAGAAAATAAAGTCCACAGTCTAAGGTTAGACTGGTTTTGTTAATTGTAGGCAATAAATGGAACTTCAAGAAGATGGTGAGCTACAAAGAAATGCTTGATACAATTAAACAACGATGGCCGGAATTGGAGAAATTGCCCTGTGAGACTTCCAGCACAGCCAAGGTGGGGTTGGACAGAGAACGTGTGAAATGTGCTCCAATTCCTTCCCTGCCCCAAATTCTCCCAAGTTCAGCATTGATATTTGGCAACCAGAGCAATAAATACTCAGTGTGGTAACTCTTGGGTTTTGGTCAAGCTTCCTGCATGAGACTTTCCACTTATGAAGTCCTAGTAATAGTCTGTACCTTTATAAATACAATGTGTTTTCTAGATGTATTTTCAGTCAGATATAAAGAATGCCAGGCCTGTGTTGAGAAGATAGAGGTCTCTGCGTGATTCGATGTGAATCAAGCAAAAGCTGTTTATTGTTCTTCTAAACTTCTTTGTGTTCTACACAGACACACATTGTTTAATTGGTTACTCTGCTTCATCCACACATCTCTTGGTTGGTAGCTCTACTTTGTCCATGAGGCAAGCATGCATCTGTTTTCTTAATCTAATTGGTAGATGCTGTAAATGTCGTTTTACTCAGTTTGACACCCCCTTGTCTGTCAGATATTTTTTCTGCTTCTTCTTTCTTCTTGCAACATCTTTTTATCCACAAAGATGACCATATTCTTTAGTTCCAGAAGGTTAGGCTGGTTCATTTAGTACGCAGCCATTTTCTTGTAAATATGATCCTACACTGTATCCTGTATTTACAGCTTTTGAAACTTTTGTCAGTCTATAGACATGACAAATGATCCTGGTGGAAGATCTGTTCAGTGAAAAAACTATTGCTTTAGAGTGTACAGTGCCAAATGGGGAATTGCTAGCTCATGCTCCCTACAGGCATCACCTTTTAGTTGATAACTACAAGAGCAAGCATTTGACAAGTTGGAGAATTTCTAGAAACAGGGCAGAATAGACTGGAACACCTGAATAAATAGATTTTGTCTTTATTTTTTCTTTGGTATGATCTTAGGTGTGAAGATAATCTATGTTAAAATAGATTTTCTGGGAGCGCTGTAAAAGCTAGGAGTCTGTATTTGACTCTTGTTTTTCCTCCTCTGCATTTCTTTAGAGTTACAAGGTGCCACATTTCCAGGGACAAATCAGCTTTATCACATCCATGTCAGAACACTTCTGTGGATCCTGCAATCGGTTGAGGATAACAGCAGATGGAAACCTAAAGGTTAGTAATGAAACAGGATTCTCTTCAATTCCATGCAGTGAAAATAGTGTTGAAGTTCATGCCCTAAAAGTAGCTGCGATGTAAAGATGCACAATTATTACCAGCTAGCTCCTGTTTATTTAGCCTGTATGTATTCTTGTTCCATCTTGTCAGGCTGTTAAGGAGATGTTACATCACCTTTTTTCAGTTTCTCTGTTTTGCTGTCATGGTTAACTTCAGTGGTAAAACATGGTTGAAAGGCCAGTAAATATAAACATTTATTCTAATCTTTGATTTAAAATCATCTTAAACATGTGACAAACAGATGATTTCCCATTAAAAAGGGGTCCAAGCAGCTGTGAGAGCTTGGCTTTTGAATTCCACAAGGATCATGTCTTGTTTCCTGAACAATTTGTAGCTTTTCTCCTTTGAGAGCAGCCTGTACATTTGCTCAGTGACTGTAGAACAGGGAGGGATAACCATTTCTTGCCACGTTGAAACTGGGAGTTTCTGGGGGAAAATTAAAGTGTTCGATTAAAAATTGGCACTTAGACAGTGTCACCTGATATTTAGAACAGCTGTGCTGCTGCCTAACTTCAGATGACTGAGGCAGCCTGAAGGCCCAATGAGCTTAGGCTGCATAAACATCCCAGGCTCTCTGCGTGTACATGAGGAGAGATAAAGAAAACAATCTCTATAAATATTCCCTTCAATAGTGTAGGCCTCTTCAAAGCTCTTCACTGTGAGGTTAGTATGAAATACTTGTAAAAGTAATTTATTTTATTCTTTCTCGTTTTTCCTCCTCTGCTTCCCTGGGTTGGCTGCAGGTGTGCCTTTTTGGGAATTCAGAAGTGTCCTTGAGGGATCACCTACGGTTGGGTGCCTCAGAGGAGGAGTTGATTCAAATAATTGGAAAAGCAGTGGGCAGAAAAAAGAAACAGCATGCTGGTATGTTGTTGTACTTGAGAAATAACAGCAGTTATAAGGAAAGCAATGTCCTGGTATTAGTAACCTTCCATGAGAGTTAGAAACCAACCTGTCTGAAAGACTTTCAGAATGACTTTTGTTCTGAAATAGATGTGAATATCACTGCTCTTGATAATACCAGCAAAGTGTAAAGCTAAGTAGTTGTACTGGATTCCTTTTTTTTTTTTTTTTTAAATTACTTTGCTGTAAAAGAGGGACTAAATTGAGCTGTTGATCCAAGTACTGCATTAACATTTTTCTAGAAGTGACAAATCTCTTTTTCACCATGCAAGACTTCATGGGTACTCATTAAATGCTCTGCATGCAAGGTCCATGATGATGCAGTTGCATTCTCAGGCTGTATTTGTCTTTTCTGAATTCATACTGATCTAAACATTCATATCTGAACTTAACTGAATTTTTGTAATCTGTCTCCAGCTGGGAATGCTGACTTCTTGTACATGAACGGGTTTTATAATCATATATTAGTTACCTATACATAAAAAATATGCCTTGGCCCTTTTGTTTTCTTGCAGATTCTGATAGATTTATAACAGTAGGTTTTTCCCTTTTCTACTAAGCTGTAAAACAAATTTAAAGGTAGCTTTTACATCTAAATGTAGAATAACTTGCAAAGGACATTGATCTGACCCAGGTGAAATAGTGCCTTATAAACCTAAAGGAAGGCATGGAGGGATTGGTTCCTTTATTTGTAGACCCTTTATGAATTTTGGTTTGGGAAAGCGGGGGGTCGATGGGGAAGAGTCTACTACGGTCATTTTGCCATTTGCAGCATTTACCTGATATTGTCTGTTTCCTTCCAGTTTGTGTAAATCTCATTATTGTCCCTGTGTGTGGGGCTTCCTGTGTATTGAACACTTATTAACAGCTTATCTATAGAACTAGAACAGTCAAAAGCCATTGTTAAGAGACAAGATAATCTCAAATAGATTGAGTTCTTTAGTAGATAGAATGTAATTCATATTATGGCAAGCTTTCTGTGAAAGGGTTCTGCAGGATGATAGACCCATAACAGCTGGATGCCTGGAGACTCAGGCAGCTGTAGTTTTAAATAATACTGGATAATGCTGGATTCCCCCTCCTCCAGTTCCCTTGGTCTTTACTGAACTTTGTTTTTCCTAGTATGCAGGTTGCACTGTGAAGAGCAGAAAACTTAGATATGTGAACCAGATGCATGGCTTAAAACCTAAAAAGCTGGGATTTTTATGTGTTCCTTATTTTATTTCTAGGCATGTTTAACATTTCCCAGATGAAAAACCGGCCAATGGTCCTGATTGGTGGGTGACAAATCAGTACGTAAAAAACATACAATGATTTTGTTCGGCTTCTGTCTTTGGGGGAGCAGAATAGATTTGGGTTCTATGTCTAGCTTGTGGTTCTGCCTTAGGTTTAGACAAAGAAATGGGCTTCTTAATTAGCCAGTTATAGTTAACACACTGAAATGGAAGAGGAGGAAAAAGCTTAGTGTCCCTACCAAGCCTTACCCAGCTTTCCAATTGACAGCCCTATTTTTGTTTTCTCTAATTATGACATTATCTAATGATAATAATGCATTATCATTACATTTTCCAAAGGGATAATCAACTTTTTTACCTTATTTCCTATCAGCTTCCTTTGTACTTAAGTAGAACCGTTACAGTTACTTAAAAGACAGTTTGAGGTGAGTTTTGACTATATTGCCATATAAATATAAAGAATGCATGGATTAAGAAATGCAGCTTTGTTTATATAGAGCTCTCAAGCTGACAGAAATGCAAGTGTTCCTACCTCACTACTACTTCAGAATCTAAGATGTGGGGCTTCATTCTTTTGAAATTGCCTCTTACTGCTGCAAAGTCTCAGAACACAGAACCATAAAAGATGTATGAACCAAGAGCCTTTCCTTTCCTTCTGGTATCTATTGAAGCTGTTTGCTAACTTTCCCCTCTGCCTGAAGCTCTGTTCAGGAGTGAGGTAGCACTGCTGTGGTTCTCTTACTGATTTTTAACATCTCCTTCAGTGTGATTTTACCTCATCCATGCCTATATTTATCTGTTCTGTAAGATAGCTGTCTTTCCAACGACCTTAAGAAATGGTTACAAGAGTTAGCTTTGTGAGATTAATTGCAAGATGTTTCATTGTTCCTTATCAACAAGGTTTGATTAAAAAAGCTAAGCAAACAAGGGTGAATGACATGAAGATTATATTTCCAATCCAAACTCTCATCCTCCCACTGATGTTTTAGAGCAGGTTAGCTGCTGGGCAGGTTAAAACACAGGTTTAAAAACAGGTTCCCTTGGGGAGGGGAACATGCATTAATTTGCAGGCCTTTGCAACAGGTGATATAATAACAGCTACTCTATTTTAAACCAAGCCCCTAGGGCTTGTACTTTTGTTGCCTTTATTAGTAAATAGGATCCACAGAGGTCTTTAACATAGGTTGGTGCCCTACTTTAAAGTGCCATCATTTTCCATGTTGACTGGTGCAAGATTGTGCTTTTGCTTGCTTGTATTTGGCCACTGCTGCATTGTGTTCCAGAAAAAGGGTAAGAAGGACCCTTTGTTTAAAGTGTGTATTGACTTACTGCATGAGGAAAAAATGTTGTGCTTTTTTTTTTTTTTTTTTTTTAAGATGAACTATACTGTATTAAACACTTGACAGCTCACTGGGACCTACATAATTTTTCAAGTTGCCTTTGAAAGAATTGCCACACTCCAAAGTTAGCATTCAATGTTTGTTTGTCTACAGATCAGCTCGATCCAACTTCCATTTTGAAAAGTGCTTCAACGTAGTCTTACATGCAGTGAAAGATGCAGCCTGTCCAGGTCCTTCTCCTTCAGCTCTTCCATTTCCCTTTGAGACTGACTGCTGGCAGTCACTGCATCACTGAAGAGACTGGAGATGAGTGGAGAGTATCCCACTGTGACACATGGGGAATCATTAGATTTCCTAATTGTGTTTTGAATTAGTTACAAACTTAAAATAACACTGGCGTGCAAGCAGTCAGTGGGGGAGTGTGCATATGAAATTAATTTAATGAATGCTGTGGAAATCACTAACTGGTTTTGCTAGACCCAGTAAGCCAAACCTGGCATCTTCCCTCCACTGCTGTTGTCCAGTCCTTTGCTATATGGTTTGTATCTTACTTCCCTTAAACAAAATATTTCTTTTGGCAGGTTCTTCTTCTCCTGGGTTCACTGCAGTTATGGGAATTTCCTCATTAATTTAAGTATCTCCTGCCTCATTTTTTCCCCTCTGAGGTTGTGCTAGTTGGAAGCTGACACAATTAAACTTGAGGTGCATTAATAGGATATAAAGAGATGGAATTTTTCAGATGGTTTCAATATACAGTGCAGTAGAAAACCATTATTTTTTTTTTGTAAGTATATGAGCAGTTTGGGTGCAAATTGAGATGACTAGGTACAAATTCAAGAAGTGCAGGTTGTTCAGAAAAGCAAAGATGTTTTGCACTCATTACTGTCTTTTGCTGTCTTCTTATTTTGCACTCTACTTAAGCAAACTTTTTCCCTGCTCCCACCCACCTGTGTTTATCCTGTGGAAGGAAGTATTTATCTGCCTTTCCAGTCTGGCTTCTCCTGAAAACAAGACACTTTCACAGGGATTTAGCTTCAGCAGAGTGTTTTGAGTTCCTGGACTTTGAAAGGAATATTCAGGTTAGGCCCCACTATGAAAAGAGAGCAAGAGAAGAGGAATAAGAAAAATAATTTTCTGTGTTCTTCTAAAGCAGAGCAATGTTGCACTCAGTGCATTTATATTCTTTTAATTCCATTCCTCTGAGGTAAACACATGCCTTCAAATTCGCAGGAATCTTAATTTTAGTGGATAGGCCATCAGCTGTAGATGAAAAAAGGCCTTTGCCTGAATTTAGGTTATTGCAGTGATTATAATTATGAAATCTGTGGTTGATTTAAGGTTCAGGAATGGATATTTTCAGACCAATGTTGGGAGGATACTCTGGATGAAAATGGTGTTAAGGGCATGAGTCTTGTTTTAGTAGAGGCTGGAACTAACAAGGAAGAGTTTTTTGGGTTTGTTTTTAAAAAAAGATGGAGGGGCAGAGTGCTTTGTGTCTGGTATTGTCATGTGGACAATCCCTGGGCAGCAGAGGTGGCTCAGCAATGTGCAGAGGTGCAGGAAGCTGCTTTGATGCATCTGTGGATAGGCTGAAAAGGGAGTTCTTGAGCTACCAAAGGAGGTTATTGAGCACAACCTAATTCCATGTTTCTCAGAGCAGAGAGAGGAGGAGCTTTAGAAAAAGAGAACCATGCTTGTCAGGTGGTGGTGCTGTTAAACCAGGGCTTAGCTACTTACCTCTATTCTCCTTTCTTTACTTTAAAAAACATCTTACTCACTTTTATGTGAAAGAGACTTCTTCTGTCTTCACACTTGGCATTTAGCCCAATGCAAATGGCAAAACCAAAGGACTAAATGGTGAAAAGGGGCAGGAGGGCTTACTGCCTCTCTGCCAGCTGGGAGCTCTGCCAGCTCAACTTGGAACATGCTTCTGAGTAGATTTAAAATCTGTCAGTGGGGGGACTGTGGTTTTCCCAGTGCTTAAACTTCAGCTGTCATTAACATGTTAAGAGCTGGCAATAATATGAGAGGTTCCCATCACCCTCTGAGCTTGTAGACATTGCAGTTGTCTGTGCTTCTGGTCCCTGCTGTCCTCAAGTGCTGGCATGACCCTTCTCTGCAGAAGGAGATGAAAGGAGGAAGTGCAGCCGCCTGTGCTGGGAGGGAGATGTTTGGAAAGGCAGAGTTGAGGATCTGAGTAAGAATTTCCTATTTACCCTGCCAGGCTTTTGAAAGATGTCTGGTGCTGGGATGGTCCCAAATGGATGCTGAGATGCTGTGATTCATTTTTCTTCAGAGCTGATGCTTCTATAAGCTTTCTTAGCTGCTGTTTCTCAAGAAGTGTTGATACTTTTAGAAAGTAAGTTGTTCCTTTTTGTCAGGGACCTTGAAATGAGTGTTCTGAGTCTTAAGGTTTGTAATAGCAAACCAGGAAGTGCAGGGAACTGATGAGAGAAAAGAGAAGGAGCTTAAGGAAAAAAGTGGATATTTGCAGACTTACTGAGGTTTTTGCAACACAGGAAGTCCTGAGCAGTGCTCTGACAGGGTTTTCAGCTGCTACAGACAGCTTAGCTTTCCAGTTAGTAAGATGTTCTTCTCATGTTACTTCTTGTTTTTTCCCCAGAGCCTACACTGATGTTATTCCCACTATGCCAAGATGCCCTACAGGATCCCCCAAATTCAAAACAGTGGGGCCATACATTTAGCCATGGGCTGACTTTGAGAACAAGTTTACCCAAACAAAAGGGAAAAGCATCAATGAAAAATAAACTCATGGGGCAACTTTTTCTGCCAGGATCTCACCCAGAGAAACAATGGCACGTAGCAACGGGAATTCTACAAACCCAGCTCCAAGGCTACTGTGTCTTCCAGAAGGACCCAAGCTCCGCATTTGATACAAAGTGCCTTGATGCTTCTGTTGGCCAAGTTCCTGTGGACTGTCAGTCTGAAAAGGCATATTCAGGATCTGAATTCCATACCAGGGATTCAGCATCTTGCACTAAGTTACCTTGTGCCTCTGACAACTTGACTCACACTGATGAGGAAGGACGGGCCACAATGGTTGATGTTGGAGGGAAGCCAGATTCCAGAAGAAGTGCTGTTGCTGGTGCTGTGGTCCTCCTGGGTGAGAAGGCATTCAGAATGGTGAGGCAAAACCAGGTGAAAAAAGGGGATGTGCTGGCAGTCGCCCAAATTGCAGGAATTCAGGGAGCCAAGCTGACCAGCCAGTTGATCCCATTGTGTCACAACATCCCTCTGTACCATGTTGAGGTGTCTCTGAGCCTGGACGAGGCCAGGCATGCAGTGGTGATTTGCAGCTCCTGTCACACCTGGGGGAGGACAGGTGTTGAGATGGAGGCTCTCACAGCTGCCAGCCTGGCTGCGCTGACAGTGTACGACATGTGCAAATCAGTCACTCAAGATATCATCATCCAAGAGCTGAAATTGCTTAGTAAGACAGGTGGGCAGAGGGGAGACTTCTCAAGGGTGTAGATAATACTCAGATACCTCCAGCCCTCCAAGTGACCACTGCTCCTGTTCCAGCCTCTTACAGAAGTCCTTTTGCTCAGCTTGGACACCTCAGCAGGTGTGTGCAATACAGCAAGCCCATGGCTCCAGCATTGCCTTACTCTGTCAGCTTGCTGCTGGGTGAACAGTGGAGCCACTTATCCTTGTTGAAACTCATGTATATTTTCTAGACAGACTTCTCCACTCTGCCAGTACCTCCATTTCAGTATTGTCATGATGAGACTGAGAAAATATTCCTGCTTATACCACAGAGGTTTATGGTTTATGGGGTTTTTTTTCTCTTTCATGCTGTGAGTACATCTGCTGTCATCATACTGTGCAACTCTGAGCTCTGGAAATGAAGCCAGTGCTGAAAGTTGGCAACCATTTTTAAGTCAAGGATTAAGACTTCAAAGTGGTGTCTGTCCATCTTTCCCCTGACCTCCTTAATTGAATTTAGAGGGTGACAGTGAGAACTACACAGCTGGGGAACTTCACCATATGCCAGAGATTATAAACATAGAACAGTCAAGAGTCAAGGGGCAGCTCTCATCCCTTTGCAGTGCTAGTGCTTCCCTTCACAGAATCAAAGAATCCCAGAATAGATGGATAAGGTTGGAAAGGACGACAGTGGGTCACCTGATCCAACCTCCCTGCTCAGGCCCCAGAGCACATAGCACAGGGTTGTGTCCACACTGGAATATCTCCCGTGAGGGAGCCTCCATAACTTCACTCAGGAATCTGTTTCAGTGCTGAGTCACCTGCAGAGTAAAGAAGCTCAGGTGTAACTTCCTGTGTATCAGTTTCTGCCCATTGCCTCTTGTCCAGTTGCTCAGCACCACCAGGTGGAGCCTGGATCCATATTCTTGGCATGTCCCCCTTAGACACTGATACACATTGAGACATCAGTCTTCTCTTTTGGATGCTGAACAGGCCCAGCTCCCTCAGTCTTTCCTCATAAGAGAGACACCTGCAAGTGGGAAATATCCACGTATCGGTTTCAAAAGTAAAAAAAAAAAAGGCAGCCACCCAGTTTTCTGCCTTGTGCTGTGTGAAACATGATGCAGAAAGAGGATTTCTGCATTTGGAAGAATTATTTTTTCTGATCTGAAAGATATGTTTTACAATGTTAGAAGCATGTTCCAGCATTTTGACCTTAGCACTGAAATATATGGATACCCTGTTTGCATAGTTAAGGGATTAATTTTGCCATGCACAGAAGTAAGTATTAAACTCTCCTTGACTTTAGAAAGAGATGTCACACCAAGCCCTAGAAATCTCCAAATTTTTAATGCTAAGGTGCAGCTCCTAGTAACCAGCAATCTGCATAGTCCTGACAGATAAAAGACTTTAGTGCTAGTAGCCACTTGGAAAATTAAGATGCTTTTGCCTCTGCCAGAGTATTTTCCTGAATGTTACTTTAATTTGCTTTTCATGAAGTCTTTTGGCCTTGGAGCACTTAAGTGTCCCCATAAATGTAGCAATGGCCACAGTCATGTAGCATTAATTAGCTTGGTAATTAAGTGTCCTAGATAAGAAATTACTCAACATTCTTGTTAATGGCTACTTTTCCAATGTTAATTAAGTGCTCTAAACAGGGTGTTACTGGTTGCTTATGGCTAATGTGAAGTTGCACATGATTCAGGGTGTTCCCTCCATACACCGGGTTAAAGAGCTCTAGTAAGGTCAGTGATACTTCCAAAAATCACCTTAAGCTTTAGAGTTTAAAGTACAGTGAGCACACCATGCTGCCACGCACATCCTGCTTACGTAAAGTAAGCACACGTCTCAGATGAGTAGGTTTTGCTACAGATCTTTCACAAATGTCATATGCCAGCTACAACAAAAGCACTCTTTCCATTGCAGGTGAATTGATTAGATTCTTTATTTGTTGTCACTGTGAGATAAAATACATAGAGTGACAGACATAGCAGCTGTAGCTGAAAGGGAAAGAAATTTGGAAAGCTTGGTGCCTAAAATCCATAAGCATTTGTACATCAGTGATGTGGTTTAGGAATGGTATTCCTCAATTTAGTGGTTTACTCTCTCTTGCTCCTCCCTCCCTGAAGTGGGCTGGTGAGGAGAATTGGAGGCACAGTAGGTAAAAATCATGGGTTCAGATAGGAACAATTTACTGGAAACAGCAATGGAATAAGAAAATGAGCAGTAGCACCTTTAATAATAGAGGGAACAGGCACCACGTGACCATTCCCTTACTGGAAGAGACCTCTTCCCTGGTCCCCATAATAACCTGCCATGCTGTTAGCCATGCCTCTCTTGGCTCCTGCAAAAATCACTCATGTCCTGGCCAGAACCAGGACAATCTACATTCATTGTTACAGTCTTGACTCCCTGTCACATTCCCAGGAGTGTAGCTGGCACTGCCATACTGACACCAACAATCCCACCCAATCCTGCAAATACAGATTGCATTGATCTGTGGAACTGCTGTTTCCATAGCACGAAAGATTCCTTAGCTCAGCAAGGAAACAAAGTGCCAAGAAAAGGAAGCACATGTATAACCTGCTAAGTCTATTGACTGACACAAGCACCTCCCAACATACCCTGCTCTCCTGGCCTGCCCCTAGGCTCTAGCTAATTCTGAAAATGAAAAAGAAACTCTGTGTACTCAGTAGTAATAAAACAATAATTTGGGCATATGATTCTTTGGCTTTTGAGAAGTTTGCTGTCATGCTGTAAAGCTCACACAAAGGACTCAGGGCCATACGAGCTACTACTGAGCACACACGTGACCACCACGCACATCTTGCTACTTACGCACATTTCATTACTTCCTCGGTTTGAGAGTGGCTGGAAGTGCAGGGCAAACTGACTTTGGTGCCATTTTATGCTCATGTTATACTATCAAGTCTTTAAACTATGCACATTTATAGGTAATGAACCAAACATGAGTTAACATTTTGCGAGAGAAGTGGGTTGAAAGCGCTCTGTGGTGCTGGGTGGGTCATGGTGATATATGTTGATGAACTGACTACTTTTTGAAGGCTTGCTTTTTTTGTCCACTGTATTTTTAATAAATACTAGTTGTAATGGAGTGTGGTTTGCATTACTTCGAATATACTTTTTGTTTATATTTCTATGTTTTAGTCCAAAAGCTTCTATGAATAGTTACCTTGGGACAAGCAACAAGACAGGCTCTGCAAGTTGCATGATTAGTTAGCAAGGAATCAGTCATAATAACTTATTACTATAGAGAATCTACTTCTTGTGTTGTTGAATGAAACTCATTTTAATCTGTTTGTTCTTAAACTGTGTAATCCTGTGGGTTTAGCATAATAATTTGTCATTTTTTGTCATTATCCCAGCTTCTCCCACATGCCTGTTCTGAGCCAGTGGCTGTATATAACGTCACTGCTTTTTGCAGAACTGGGGCCTCCAGAGCTCTTCCTCCTAATCTGAGTGACCACAACTGAAAGATTCAGGGAAGTGCCTATATAAAAGTCCCTCCGTCCAGTATCATGCATGAGCCTTAAAGGAAATTGCCCTTCTCATCCAACCGAATTTCCAGGAAAGCTCTCAGGTTTCCTGCTACGAAGAAGGCATCAGTGATCTTAGAGGTCTTTTCCAACCTAAATGATTCTAAGGTTCCAAATGCTATCAATCCTAAAATAAGCTCATAATTTTTCTAGGAACAGAAATAGTCAAGCTCCAAAGCCCATCACTTCCTTCTCTTGAAGTGTCATAAGAGTGTCAAGTTGCACTTTTGTACATATCAAACACAACTCAAACACAAATACTGCAGACCATGGCAACCCTCACAATGCATACATTAGAGTTTTTGCCTGCTGGAAATTCAGCTGTCTCAGCTTATGGCCCATTTGTGTGTTAAGAGTCTGTTCACTGCTAATCCAGGCTCAATTCTTTGGGGCATCTGAGCCTGGCTTCCCTTCCTGCCCATGTCCTGACACTGGCCACTCCACCCTCACACTGTTCTGTTAAAAACTGGATGCAGCATATAAAGGAGAAGCTGGCAGAAGCTGCCCATTAAGAATTCTTGAAGAGATTAAATCTATGCCAAAAGAGCAGTGCTTTTAGGAAGTGCTGGGGGAAGGAGAATGGGCCATGGGGGGAAGACAGCTTGAAATAACTCAGGGAGGGACTTATTTTTTTCAGAATGGGAACTGCTCAAAACCAGATTCTAAAAGCAACAACAGCTGAGCAGTAAAAATAGGCAATGAATTTTGTTAGCTGTTTTCAGGCCCAGGTGACCTGAAGTGATTCCCTGTAAAATCCGTTACGCAGCATTACATGAGATTTGACTGAACAGAATCTGGCCCTTAGTGGTTTGCTGGTTCTCAGCTCCCTCTGGCTGCCTCAGCAGAGTCAGGCAGGCTTGGAACAGCTGAAAAAAGGCTGTGTGTGCTTTGGCCAAGGCAGAGCTGCTAATTAGTTAAATAGAAACACAGTTCACTTCATACACCAGAGCCTTGCTCCAAGGGAAGCTCAGCATTTCAGGAAATCTAAAATTGGTTGGAGGAATTGCAGGTTGTGGTGGGCTGACCAGGTTCTCAGGTTTTTGAGATATCAGGTAAAAGCCTTAAGTCTCAAAACCAGTGTATGTGAGGAGCTCTGCAAAGTCACGATTGTGGCAGGCAACACCCTGACATGCCTGTCAGGGTGCCAGAAAGGCACAGGGTGAGGAGCTGAATCCTTTGTCATAGGCTGTGCCTGAATGGCTTTGGATGAACTTGGTGCACTCTGTCATAAGAGCAGCTTCTCACTTAGCACAGCAAACTTAAACAGTGGGTGGCTAAGACACAAATCCAGCTGTCTACCTTCCCCTGTCCCTCCATGCTGCCAGTGCCATGTTTAGAAAGCTTCCAGTTTAGCATCTCTGTACTAACCCTTTTTACTCCTTTGGGGACTAAAAGGTACCCAAAATAGTAGCAGTAAAGTGCAGCTGAGTGCAGGTTCACAGAAAGGGATGGGATGGATGCCCTTGAGACACTGCTGAGCTTTCCTCCAAGCAAAGAAGCACAACAAACCAGGCATTGGTCAGCTGTGTGCAAAACCCAACTGCAGTGGACAGCCATGGACATCAAGCAAGCTGCCTACTGCCCATGGCTCTCCAAGGTGCCATCCATGCAACACTCACTTCACAGAACAAAGTTTCATACTTCATAATTGCTTAAGGCTTGCTTTCAGAGCCCCAAATTAGCAGGAGAGACAATTGCTTCATGAATTACTCCATCAACAAAGCAAAGTGTGGACAGCCTGCTCAAAACCAGAAACTCAATACTATTAAGCTCTTCCTGCATGAATTTAGCCTTAATTTTAAGTTCAACAGAAACACTCTCTTCTATAACCATGATACATTTCAGGCTGTGCAGCTGAAAGGATGTGAAGCCAGCAAAAGCAGAGTTTGTGTTTACAAAGTCAAGGGCAGCTTGGCTGCAGTGGGACAGGAGGTAGGGGAGGAAGAGAGGAGATAGCAGGAGGGCCGGGCAGCTGTAAGTATTCTGTTAATATTATGCTTGGAAGATAACACAGTCTATCAGATACATGGCTGCTCAATAGGCACAACCTTAGGCCAGTTACCTGCTGGTGCAAGTTGTGGCAAAGCTCTGTCAACACCAGCAGAGCTGTGCAGTATCACACCAGACAGCATCTGCTGCTGGGAGCTGGGAGAGAGGGGTTCAGCTGCACAGCCCTGACCTGCCATTACTGCAGCCTTAATGAACTTGTTTCATTATCAGGGTAACTTCAGCACTCAAGACTCCCCATGTGCACAGTTGCAGCAAGGCCGGAATTGCTGTTGTGTGAGGCAGTGCCTGGAATTACACTACCTGTCCATCCCTCTCCCTCCATCCCCTCACCAGCTGCCACCCACAGTCCCGGTGCTTCAGAGAGCTGCACTTCCCTGCCCTGGGCCTAATGCTGAATGGAAATGTTTCAGCTCTGTGTGGCTCGTTTGGCTTCTGCAGAGCAACCCTTAGGGGCATCCTCAGCACAGATCCAAGAATGAGCTGAGGGAAGGGAGTAAATTCTGCTACCTCTGAAACCTCATCTCTCCTATTGCAGCTGACAGCTCAAAAGGCTCCATCCTGCCAAGACGGAATCTTAATTTGGATCACTGGAAAAGACAAACTGCTGTCAGGGCTGCAATGATCCTGGGCTCACAGAGAACATGGGCAGAGAACATTGTCTAGCCCCACAAGAGAAGGCCTTCACTAGGGTTTACAAAAAATAAAATTCCCTTCAGAGTATGGAAGAGCTGGAAGCAGGAAGAGGATGCCAAGGAGAGAACATGGCTTAGCCAGGTAGTTTGCAGAGGAAGAGCAGGCAGAACCACACCACATGGAAAATGCTCCTGTCCCTGTAGCCTGCTGGGAAGGGAAGCCACCAGCAAAGGCTGAGGTACAGCTAGTAATCCCCAAGCCCTGCAGTGAATTTGAATATTATAATCATCTCTGAACAAACCCACAAAACTATCACAGTCATACCCAGAACTGCTGCTGCCAAGGGCTATAGGAAGAAGTACAAGGTAAGTTTTTCATCTGTCTTGGGTTGCAATGCACGATGTAACCAAAAGTATATATTCTATTACCATTTCTTAAAACCAGGTGGGGCAGTGTTCTTTATCCCTACCACAACCCATCCTCCCTCCAGGGGGCATATATTCTGTTAATGGGCCACTGAGTCTCACTGCATGACTGATAAAATTACATCATCCCATTGTGAGAAGCTCCATCCAGGGGGAGGAGCCAAGCATTTCTACCTGTATATCTTTGGCAACTTGAAACACTGCAAGAGGAGAGACTAGACACCACCACTGGACCTTCAGAGGAAAACTACACCCTTCTATAGAATCACTGCTTCAACAGAAGCAGACAGATCTGGATCTATCACTCCAGGAAGACTGCAGCCATCATTTAATCGGACTGCTACCAATACCCTGACTAACACGGTGTCAGGTTGTATTCTGACTCTGTCAGTGGGTTGTTAGTTTGTTGGTTTTTCTTTTTTGTACTACTGCATTGTTATTTTAATTTCCTTAGTAAAGAACTGTTATTCCTATTCCCATATCTTTGCCTGAGAGCCCTTTGATTTCAAGATTATACTTTGAAGAGTGGGGGGTGGTTTACATTTTTATTTATTTCAAGGGAGGTTTCTGCCTTCCTTAGCAGACACTTGTCTTTTCAAACCAAGACATCATCTTAGAAGAGAAAGACTAGAGCAAAACCTCTTCAGGCATCCCATCTGCACGTGGCACCAGGATGCTACATGATGCTTTTTCCAAGCCACAGCTGCTGACTTAAAGCCCGCTTGCTTCAAAGACCCTGGCAGAATTCACTCATACCTCCATGATTAGGCACAGTCTAGTCACCCCTTTGGCTTTGTGGAGGCAACCAGAATCAACACTGCCAACTCCTAATGTACCCAAGATGGGTGCTCCTGAACCAGTTTCCTTGCAAGCACAGTCTTGTCATCTCAGCATTTTGTCCCAGCAGCAGGAATATGCAGCAGGAGTGGAGCAGAACGAGTAGCCATGAGCCTGGGTTATTTTTACATCATTTGTTCCACCTTGCATATTTAGGTGCTTCTCTGAGTCCCTACATCAGAGGAAGGCCACCGTGGCAAGTCTTGCTCAGATTGGGAGCTTTAGAATAGCCTCCCTTGCTGACTCGGGAACAGAATTACCAGCAGCTCATGTAGCACATGCCATGTGGGAGCTGTTGGATCTGAGCAATGAAAATGGGCTCTTGCTCTGTTAAGATGGTTTTAATGGGATTTTCCAGCCAGCAGACTTGCTTTGTGGGACACACCCAGGACATTCAGCCATCAGCAACACAGCTGCATGCAGAAGGCTCTTGGCCAGCCAGACTGGGAGGGGCATTTAAACACAAGTTTCTTGCCTTCATCTTTATAACCTGCTATTTCTCTCCTGGGTTGCTAAGGATTCCTCAGAGCACATCCCTCTGGGATGTCCCAGATGCAGCAGAGGCATGGTCAGTAACAGCCTGTCACGATCCGCAAGGTGGGATTCGTGATGTGGTTCTTTTAGCCGGTCTTAGAGTACAAAAGATTATCAGC